AACTTGGTTTAGAATCATGTTTGAATATTTTTAAAAGGAATTCTTTGAAAATATGTTTCTACCCACTTATCTCATGTTACCCAGAGCATACTCAAAGTGCCTGTCCTTAGTATTTCTTGTTAGTTACAAATTATGGTATACCCATACAATGGGATATTACTCAGCATTAAGAATGAACTCATGATACATATACCAACGTGGATGAATCTCATAGTAAGTAAGCTGAGTGAAAGAAGTCAGACAAAAGGTCCATATGGTATGATTCCATTTATGTAAAGTTCTAGAAAGTGCAAACTAATCTGTAGTGACAAAAAGATTACCCATACCAGCCAGCCAACAAGAAAAAAAGATTAATGGTTGCCTTCAGATCAGGGTGGGGTGGAGCTGCAGGGAGGGTATGCACAGGGGTATAAGAAAACTTAGGGGAGTGATGGATATGTTCATATTGGTTAAGGATATAAGAAGAAAAGTAGTAGTATCAGATTTCATTCTAGAACAGTCTTTCCATCTGCATTGTGGAAAAAAGGTTGAAAGGGTACAAGACTTGTGCCTTTAAGACCAGATGAGAGATGATGAAGCCCTGAATTTTGGATAGTTATAGTGGGGGTGAACAGGAGGGACGGAACTGTGAGGTCTTAAAGTGGTTAGCTGGTGATGAATTAGGTACAGGACTAAGAAATCTAGCAGGACTTATATGTTTCTAGCTTTGGAAATTAGTGGATGATGGTGGATTCACCAAGACAGAAGGGAAAATTTGATGGGGGAAATAATTCAGTTATTTACCTGTTGAGTTGTAGGTGCCTGTGGTATGTTTAAGTGGAGGCATCCAGTAGGCCATTGGCTATGTAGATACGCAGTTCAGGAGAGAAAACTGGAATGAATTTTTAAAAATTGGCAGTTAGTGTGTAAGTCCAGGAATCAGATGAGAGGTCTTGGTTGGAACTAGAGTTTTGGGTAGAATCAGCATAAAGGAAGAATGTATGTAATTCATAGGATTCTTGGATGTGCACCCTCTGGATCACCTTCATCCTTTAAGAGTGAGCAGAAAATGTTAGGATGGCAAAGGAGAATGGGCTATAAGGGAAGAAAGAAGAAAACCAAGGGAAAAGAATTTTAAGAAAGGAGTAGTGGTCAGCAATGTCAAATTGCTGCAGAAAAAAAATTAGGTAAGAGTGAAATTGGGTTTAGCAATTGCGAGAGCAGTCCATTTAATTGGCGGAGCAGTCCATTTAATTGGCGGAACAGAAGCCAGTTAGATTGCAGAGTGTTGCGAAATTATTGGGAAGTGTGGAAGTGGAGGAAGCAGGTGTAGGCTGTTCTTTCCTAAGTTTGCCTGTGAAAGAGTGGTTGGGGGTTGGAGGAAGGTGTAGAGCAGTGTGTTTGTTTTTTAAAGATGGAGGAACCTTGGTCATGTGCTGAAGAGAGAGAACTGGTAGAATGGAAGGGGTTGACAACATTAGGAGAGAGGGTTAATTGTTAGTGCCTCTCTGAGGAGGAAGCATGAGATGGATCCAGGGCACAAATGGAACAGCTGAGGAAAGCAGGTCAGAGTGGGTATGGATGGGTAGGTGTGGCTGTAAAAGAGTAGCATGAGGCAGCCTCAACTACCCATCC